GGGATGATCGGCCCCGAGCTTCGTCTTGAAAGTCTCCATTACCTGCACAAACAGCTTCTCGGCCTCCTCCCACCGGCCCTGCTCCCAGTACGTCGACGCCAGGTTGGCCATGCTGGTCAGCGTGGAGGGATGATCCGATCCAAGAACTTCCTCTCGTAGCTCAATAGCCCCAAGCTGGAACCTCTCGGCATCTTTCCACTGGCCTCGGTAACTGAAGAATGCTCCAACAGATTGCAGCAGAGTCGCCCTCCCGGCTTTCTCGTCCCTTGAGCCAGTGCCTTCGCTGCCAAGCACCACATATGCATGCGCAAGGTATGCGCTGCATACTTCCCAATTCTCATACCGCCCGAATGGGTAGCAGCGCGACACCGCCAACAGTGCCTGCCCGGCAAAGTGCCTCGTCCTGCCCTTCTTGATGAGCCACTTTCGCGTCACCAACTGCACGAGCCGGTGCATGTCTAAGCCATGATCCTTCTCCTCTGCCACGAAAGAAAACGCCTTCAGAACCCCCAGGGCCTCTATGAGCTGTACCTCTCTCCTTGCCTCCTGTTCTGCCTGCTGCTGGCTATAGCTGGATAGGAACTCTACTGGAATGGCGTGTCGGTCCAAGAGGCCCATGAGCGAGAGGAGCTCGCCCGCGAAGGTGTTCTGCCGCTGGATCTGATCAAACGAGAGAATCCACGTCTCCGCCACTGCCCGAGGCGTCTCTGAGTCTCGCCCGACCGTCTCAAATTCCTGGCTAAGCAGATCTACAAGGTCTTGGTCGCTCTTGTCCAGCAGCTCGAGATACCTGCTAATTGACACGGACTTCTCCTGCATGAAGGCGGCTGCCTGCACCAGTGCGAGCGGCAGGTGCTCCAGCGGAGCTGAAAGTGTAGACAAGTCGCCGGGATTGATTCTGTCTTGCTCGAGCTTCTTCTCGAGCAGCTCTTTCGACTCGCTGTCGTCCATCTTCTTGACTTCGATTGGTCGTCCGCCCCTTGTGAGCCTCGAGCCCACCTCCTTGTTCCTCGTCGTCACGAGAACAGACCCGTGCGCGCATTCGGGAACGTGCTGTCCAAGCCCTCCCGGCCCGCTGGCAAGCTGCGTGTCGTCAGCATTGTCGATCACCATCAGCCACCTGCCTCGGTCCTTGCTCGCCAGCCACCTCTTCAGCAGCGGCACGACGTCCGCCTTGGGATCGTCGTAACCAGGGACGTGACATTCCTGTGCGATCAATGCATATGACTGACGAAACCGCTCGGCGCTACTCGCGTGGACCCAGAAGACGGATATATCTGGATATTCCTCTTGTAGCCAGTACGCGTATGCCAGTGCGATTTGCGTTTTCCTTTATCGAGTCAGCGCGGCCTGCAAGGATGGGGCATCCTTAAATACCCAATACCTCCCAAGCCGTACAGTGCGGCTCGTAGGTGCCACTTGCTCTGCGGCTGACTGTGGCCGAGCTGGTCCTTGAGCTTTTCAAGGATATCGGACCGCCCGACGAAGTCGGGATTGCAGGTATATGGCACGAGGACTGGTCTCATTAGCCTCGTCTAGACAGCGGCGTACATCCTACCTACACATCGCGGCATTGCTCTGAGGCCTATCCAGCCAACCCGAATCGCCCGGTCCGCGCCGACCGTCCTTGGATGCGCTGCCAGATCCAGGCAGTAGATTTCCGTCTGGTGTTGCAGCCTTGCCAAGCTGCTTAATCCACCGACGAAGCTCTCCGCAAACTGCCAAAAAACCAGGGTCGTCCACGCTGGCGAATTTGGTCATGTCCATGTGGTTGCGGTGGACCCCGATTGGGATGTACCCAGGCAGAATCGCCGAATCCTGCGGCACAACCTGCCGAGCCCCGTTAACGAAACGCGCGCCATAGAGTCACGCTAGCACACTCACCTGGCCGATGCCTGGCAGAGGCAGCTCCTCGAAGAAGCAGCTGATCTCGATCGGCTGGCCCTCCCTGCCACGCGCTAGGACCATGCTGTGGAAACCGTCCTGGATCCGCGCGAGCACCTCCGAGTCGCGCTTAAGCACCTCGACGATTTGTGTGTTCGTCTGCTTGATGATTCCGATCGATCGCGACAGCAGCTCGGCCCACCGTGCCAGCCCTGACCCGTGGTGCGGCGTCCCGAGGAAGGCGATGCCGTGCGTCAACCGGAGGACGTTCTGGAGGTGTGGTTCCGCCCGCTGTCTCGATGTGAACAATGCCTAGCGACGGAATTAGCGATCGCGGTAACCTACGACCCGAGAATGACATACATCCTCGCAGACCAGCCCGCCCAGGCTATGGCAGACAAATATGATCGGCCGTTCATTCTACTCGCGTTAGCGGCGTACCCAGTCCACGCGGCCGCTCACACCCACCGTGTCGTCCCTCTCTCGATACGACACGAGAGACGTCAGAAGATTCCACGCATGGTTCGCAATCCGATTCTGCGACACCATGCCCCGCCAGTCCGTCACGTACGCATCGTATCCGAATGTGAGGACGCGCGCGGTCGGGAGCTCGGACGGGAGGAGGGCCTTGGGCCAGGGCTCAGACGCGTCGCTGGCGGTCCATGTCTTCTCGCGATCGCCAGTCAGGCCGTGGACAAAGACGATGCTGGGTGGGGATCATCAGCTAGGCGTCATAGAGGAGCACAGATGTACGCACTCGACGATGGCACCTGCCGGGCTGCAAAGCGGCTTGATGCCCGAGGGGAAAGTCTTCGTCGAAGACGAGGCCCCGGCGCGTGGTCGCTCTGACTGGCTTTCTTGACCCGCCGATTCAGTTATCGCGGCTTTCGGCCGCCGGCCGAAGAATCGTCGCATTCCGCCGCGGGAAGGGACGTGCGGCTCGGTCCGCCAGATCGTGATCCACTGCTCTGGTGGGGTTCGAGGGATCTGAGCGCTTCCACAACGTCTCGACATTCCTCCGAACGGGCGTCAGCGAGGATCCAAGTTCCTTGGATCCCCGCTTTGCGAACCTAACGTTCGTCCGATTTGGATGGTGCTAAATTTAGCACCGGCTGGTACCCACGTGATCTCAGTAGAGTCAATTAATCGGTGGTGGACCCCGCTTTACCACAGCCTTTCTCTAGAGTTGGCGCTGTCCCGCAAGCAGGGCGCTACCGGAGCCAGGGCCGGTGGGAGGAGGCCGAGAAGCTGGAGATACAGGTGATGGAGACGAGCAAGACGTACAGTCACTAGCGAAATCGCCTTCCGCTTCTTACTCTCTGTTGAATTGTCCGGGGGCCTGCTTTTGGCCCTCTTGGCGCTGACACCGTACCTATTCTTACTGTCAATTGTCCCCCTCAGTCCAACGCAGTGGAGACTTCTGAGGGTTGGCCCAGCCTTGCCGCTTAGCGCCGAGAAAGCTGGTGCTAAAATTAGCTCGTTCCAAATGGTTCGGGCTGCAAAAGAGGGATTCAGGGGAGGCAGGGAAGCCCCAGCTTCAACAAACCCACCTCTCCGCCAAAAACCCACATTTACGGAAGACAGGCACACACCTTGACCCCACACGGACCCGACCCGACGACGGGATTTCAACCGGCCTTCCGGAGCCGACTCCGGCGCAATAACCGATGAACACAGCCCGGCCGCGGCGCCCAGCTGCGCGGGCCGACTTCGAGATTGCCATCATCTGCGCTCTCCCAATCGAAGCCGATGCCGTCGACGCCCTCTTCGATCACCACTGGGACGATGACGGGGCGCCCTACGACAAAGCCGCGGGCGATCCCAACGCATACTCCACCGGCGCCATCGGCCGCCACAACGTCGTCCTCGCACACATGCCAGGCATGGGCAAAGCCAGCGCCGCGGCCGTCGCCGCCAACTGCCGCGCGAGTTTCCCCAACATCAAGCTGGCCCTCGTCGTTGGCGTTTGCGGTGTCGTTCCCTTTCGTCCTGGCGGCAGCGGCGGGACGGCCGAGACCGTGCTAGGCGACGTCATCGTCAGCGATGGTGTCGTGCAGTACGACCTCGGACGGCGACTGCCCGAACAGTTCGTGCCGAAGGACACGCTTCTGGACACCCTGGGCAGGCCGAACACCGAGATCCGCGCGCTGATCGCCAAGCTCAGGGGCCTCCGTAGCCGGAAGATGCTGCAAGCTAAGATGGCCGGCTACATGGACCTGCTCCGGGGCGAGCCGGAGCTGGCGGCCGCGTACCCCGGTGCTGCGCAAGACAAGCTGTTTGAGGCGACGTATCGCCATGTGAGGGACGGGATGTCGTGCGAGGAGTGCGGTTGCGACGGCAAGCTCGTACCGCGTACCCGCCTCGAGCAGGGCGATGGACAGCCTGCGGTTCACTTTGGCCTGATTGCGTCGGGCGACACGGTCATGAAGTCGGGCAAGGACCGCGACGACATCGCACGGGAGGCGGGTGTTATAGGGTTTGAAATGGAGAGCGCCGGTGTTTGGGACATCTCCCCTTGCGTGGTCATTAAGGGTGCGTGCGACTACGCGGACAGCCATAAGGCCAAGGCGTGGCAGCGGTACGCGGCGGCGACGGCGGCGGCGTGCATGAAGGCTTTCTTGGGTTACTGGGCACCTTCAATGCCAGGTGCGTAATGATCAACTAACGTTCGAGGTTTTGGAAGAAGGTTTGCTGGAGCGCAGGCGCTAAGTTTCTTAGGATCTCCTCCTCTCCCAGAGCAGCCAGCCGGACCTTGGTGTAGGTAGACCCTTATAATCATACTATTAGGCCAAAGCCGTGCTTACCATATACAAGTTCTTGTTCCTTATATTGAGAATAAGACGTTTATTGGGCGGGAATCAATTCTCAAGCAACTCCAACAACAACTTCTAGGGCCGGCTTTACAGTCAAGGACCGCGCTCTTCGGCCTCGGCGGTGTCGGGTTAGTTCCGCTTGCCTGGATATGAAGTTCGTATTAACAAGTACAGGAAAACGCAAATCGCTCTGGCGTACACATACTGGCTCCAACGGACAAACCCAGAGGTTTCAGTCTTCTGGGTCCATGCGAGCAATGCTCAACGATTCCGGCAAGCATATGCGTCTATCGCGCAGGAATGCCAGGTGCCGGGCTACGACAACCCAAAGAAAGACGTGTTGTTGCTGGTGAAGGCCTGGCTGGAGAGGAAGGAACGCGGCCGATGGCTGATGGTTCTTGACAATGCCGATGATATGCAGCTCTTCTTCGGACCGCATGTGGGCCCTGCGAATGCCAGCTCTTCCAGCCATGAGGAGAGCCTCGGACGGTATCTTTCCGAGTGCCCCCACGGCGCTATTCTTGTCACAACCAGGAACAAGCAGGTTGGCTCGAGGCTGACCAAGGGAAAACGCCCCATCGAGGTCGGGAAGATGGACGAAGGCGAGACAGACCAGCTGCTCCGCGCACGATTTGACGGAATCAACGTTACTTCCAGTGAATCCTCTGCGCTTTCTTCCCGACTGGAGCACCTTCCGCTTGCGCTCGTCCAAGCGGCCGCATTTATCCAAGAAAACACCATAACTGTCGGCCAGTACCTTGAGCTCTTGGACAGCAGCGATCAGGACCTTGTCGATCTGCTCAGTAAGGAATTTGAGACAGACGCGAGAGACTTGGAGACCCCTCGTGCAGTGGCTGAGACATGGATTCTCTCGTTCGAGCAGATCCAACGGCAGAATGCATTTGCGGGTGAACTCCTTTCTCTTATGAGTCTTCTTGACCGGCAAGCCATCCCCTTGGACTTTCTATCCCGCTATAGAAAACAGCAGCAGGACCAAGAGGCCAGGGGAGAAATGCAGCTTACGGCAGCATTGGGGGTTCTGAAGGCGTTTTCTTTCGTAGTGGAGGAGAAGGATCATGGCTTGGACATGCACCGGCTCGTGCAGTTGGTGACGCGAAAGTGGCTCGTCAAGAAGGGGAGGATGAGACACTTTGCCGGCCAGGCACTGTTGGCGGTGTCGCACTGTTACCCATTTGGCCGGTATGACAATTGGGCAGTATGCAGCGCATACCTTGCGCACGCATATGCAGTGCTGGGCGGCGAAGGCACTGGTTCAAGGGACGAGAAGGCCGGGAAGGCGACTCTTCTGCACTCTGTTGCTGGATTCTTCAATTCCCGAGGCCAGTGGAAAGATGCCGAGAGGTTCCAGCTTGAGGCTGTTGAGCTACGAGAGGAAGTTTTTGGGTGGGAGCATCCCGACACGCTGAGCAGCATGGCCAACCTGGCGTCGACGTATCGGAAGCAGGGCCGGTGGGAGGGGGCCGAGAAGCTGG